TTATACTCACTACTCAGAAGACAGACTAAACCAAAAACCTATCCATGCTATCTTAATAGGGCTTCCTGAGCTACCAAAGGTTTGTCCAGTCATTGAGGCCGACGTTGTGGGAAGTTGCAGCGAGGATTGTAGTGACGAGAACCCCTGCTCTTCGGGACAGATGTGCTGCTCCAACGGATGTGGACACACCTGTGTAGAAGGTACTATTGCAAAAGTTGCAGTTTTCTGAAAGAATCTAAAATTTTCCTTCCTACCATGTCACAGGTCCAAGTTGCTTTGCTGTGTACCCTTAGAAAAATCTGAGAATATACATATTGGAACTTTCTTTCTGTATGCGATTTACCTTGTACAATGTCATCAGTGGCTATTCAAGGGGAGAGCTGCACAAAAGATGGTATAGAAAGAAATTCTGGACAAAAAAAAGATGGCTTAGGCTGCCAGGTTCAGGATGCTCATTCACATTGCGCTTGAACTGATAAAGTATTCATATTCTGAATTTGTTGGAAGTCAGTGTTTTGTTTTTGTTTGCACATGAAGGTTGCCTGCCTGTCGTGTGTCTGATGTACTGCCGCTTTGGTTGGGACCGAGATGGAAGTGGTTGTGAAATCTGCAGATGCAAAGAACGCCCCTCTGGTAGGTCAAGGGCCACCATGCTGTGGCTTGGTTACAACGAACCTGAGTGAATACATCACTTGTACAATCATGAGTGTTAAAGGCATTAGCGTGAAAACCAGCAACTAGCACGCACACGTCCTTTATTTATTTGCACTACACTTTCTTGTTCAAAATGACGTCACACTTCAGTACTGTATAACCATAGAAATCTGAACCTGTGAGAGTTTTTCTTTGCCTTGAAGGTGCCAACAGCAGTTAGGAGCTGACCTTACTAGCACAGAATCCTGGAGCACGAACCTACATTACTTACAAACCTGGGAAGCGTAGCAAGGGCTGGTAATTAAGCTCACAAGAAATGGTTGCAGCTGTTGGGCTGTACCCCCCCCCCGGGTTTAAATGCTATTTTCAGTTTTTGGCAAGTAATTCAAAGACAGCTTCTGCCAGTCATCAGTGCAGATTTTCAATTTATTTCCTCCACTCTATTTTAGACAGATTCTCCAGCTGTTTAACATTTATCTGAGGTCAGCAGACAATTAGCCAAAAATATCTTGAGTCGTGCTTTGGCCAATTTCGAGGCTGTCAACAGTTATATCATGAGGACAGTTATTTTGCATAAGGCCTAGGCTATACGCCGTGCTACTGCTGTGCCGAACTCAAATAATTCAATTTAAAAGTTCGGCACGGCATATAGCACAATTCAACACAGCAAATTGAAATTGGTACTGCAAGCCTTAGCTCAACAGGGTATGACATGCTATCATTGTTCCAAATGGCAATGGCACTATTTAGCACAACTGCCTTGCTATTGCTGTACTCATTTTAATTAAGTTCAGCATTGCAGGAGCATGGCGTCTCCACCAAAGAATTGTGACACCTGTAACATATTTCCTCTTTCCAAGTTGACACCAAAGGAGGTTTTGATTCATTTGGAATGGCTGTTAATGAAAGCATTCCGTTCTTTTGTTTGAACTGGTAAGTAAGCCTAGGAGAACAAAGTAAAATACAATCACATAAGTGGACTGACCTAATGAAATATGAATGAAGCATAATGAAATAGGAAGCATGCCCTAAATGCATTACATTTGGTTGTACATCTCTGATGATTCTCGTTAGATTGTAAACCACTGCTGTGTCGTCTTGGCTGCCGCAACGGCTACCAGACCGACGAAAACGGCTGCGACATCTGCAAGTGCAAAGGTGCCCCCAGTGTGTTCAGCGGGCCAGACATCTACAGCTTGCCCATTCCAAGGTCGTGTCCCGTTGTCGCAGAGGGGGTCGGGGGCATTTGCAGTGAGGAATGTAGTGAAGAGAACCGCTGCCCTGCCGGACTACTGTGTTGCTCCAACGGATGCGGGCACAGTTGCATCAGAGGTATGGATCAACGGTGGAGGGAGGGGGGATGTCAGTCATTCTTTAACCCCTGCCAATGCCCGGGGATGATCATGTTAGCTCATTGTCTTGAGAAAGTGTGATCACAGGAAACTGGTCACCAGCTTCACAGGCATTGTCCCAGAAAATACACACCTCAGTTTGTGATTGGTCAGCTTCTCTCACATTCACTTGCAGACATCAACATTACCCATCAGGAATGGAATTCCTTCATCTGTCTTACTATTTTTTATCCTCTCTACTTGCCTTGTTTACTAACAGTGAATCGTTTTGCAATTTGGTTATAGGTGCTTCCTTCTTTTCAATTGTTGATTTCTATTACCCCCCCTTTCCCCCCTTTTATGCAGGTTGTCGTCCAGTGATGTGTCGAATGTATTGCCCCTTCGGGTGGGATGTTGACGAGGAGACAGGATGCGAAATCTGCGCGTGTAAGAGGCCCACCACAGGTTAGTCAAAGGTTTTTCAGGGGTAAACTTGATTGCCCCAAGAATGCTTGGAACGCAGCAGGCTTGATAAAAGATGTGGGTTTAACATACAAATAATGGGTTCAAATTGCTTGTATACACGAAACACGATATTATTGTTATAGTCACAATAATATTAGCGGGAATGCCCTGGAATGGAGTGGGATGCTAATACCTTGAGTAAATGCATACGTTCCTGGAGGCAGCATTGCATCAACCCCACCCCCAGTTATTGATTTATTTCCAGCAGGGCTTCCTGCAATGTTCTGATTCAATGCAGCAACATCAGGGAAACCATTTTTCTCATGTATTCGCCGATTACGTCAACATGTATTTTGCATTTTCATATGTTGCTGTGAATAATTACAACCATTTTCCCTTTTGAACAATCTCCTGTTTTCCATTTTGATTATGATTATACTAAAAGTGAGACTGCATATTGGTTGGTTGAGATTTTAACTTTCCATCTTTGAAGAGATTGCACTCTCTGATACAATACATCAAGAAGAGATGACTCTGTGTTAATGCTAGACAGCGCATGCTAAAATGAATACTGTTTGAAAGCGCAGTTTGGCACTAGACTATTCCTCATGAGCATTATTGGAATTGGATCTTTTGCAACTTCAAAAGTGCATCCACAGTTTTTGGAGTTGCAAATAATTAAATGATCACATGAGAGTGGGTTGCCATGGGGATGCACTGCTCGACGTCCATGATGACAAGGTTGGCTTTGCATATTCCTAGCAGTCTAAGTTTATTTCCCTTCGCCATTTTCACTGCTGACATTCCAAACTCTCTGTTGACAGAAATACAGCAAGCCAAACTTTCATTCATTACAAGTTTTACAGAAGCCCATATGTTCCCGAATGAAGAAAAAACAATGTCAAGTTGCCTTGTTCACTACTGGATTCAAACGTTAAACCTGTAATCATTCATTCATTACTAACTTAAATTTAGATGAATAAAACTTCATGTGTCCTGTGCTGTTAATATGATGATTTGGGGATCTTCATCGTGTTGACCATTTATAGCTTTTTCTATCCTTTGGGAACCTTTTTTGTCTTCTTTCAGAGCTATTCTGCCCAATGCTGCCTGTGCAAGGACCCCAGTTAGAGATATGCATCGAGGAATGTGGGCCCGACAACCCCTGCACACAGGAGGGTTACACATGTTGCAGCAATGGCTGCGGACACACCTGTGTTGAAGGTAGGGACTTTGTCATGGATACTGAACTGCTACTGGTTTGGAGTTTAAGTTCTAACCGTAAAGAAACAAGTCCGCTGGAGAATAAATGGGAACTTATTTGAGAACAAACTTTGTGAATCTTTTCAGCCCTGGTTTGATAGAAACGGCAGAGTATCCAAGTTTCAGATTCTGTGCATATGAAGTGCTTTTATATCAGCCTAGAAGTCGCTGTTGACATCAATTGATGGATTTTCCCTGGACATGGCTTTTTAATACATGACCGTGCCATCAGATGGTTTGATTTGGGAGAAGGCCGAGATGAAATTTGCAATTGTTTCATAGTTGTGTGTGTGGATGTGTGTTTTTCCTCAATGTAGGCTGTCCTCCGATACAGTGTAGACGCTACTGCGAGCATGGCTTCGCCAAAGATGCAAGGGGCTGTGAGATCTGCTCCTGTGCAGCTCCACCTGTCGGTGAGTATGGCGAATTAGCACTGTTTTCTGGAATTCAGTCAGTTGGGCAAAGTTAGACCATCTCCCATCTCTCTATATCATTTACTTGCCAGCTGAAATTGATAGTCCAGAGAATTGGATTTGCTAGCATTGAAGAGAAAGTCAGGCGCAATGATCATCAAGTCACTTTTGGGGTTGAAATCTGAGCCCAGTTTCATTCTATGTTTAACAGGTGAAGACGTACTACACCAATCATGGGCACGTTTTTGCAATCAGAAACACAT